TATGACAAGCCAAACAGTGTTTTCATATATTAACTCACTAAATCCTCACAATAATCCTATAAAGTAGGTACTGTTATTATCTTAATTTTACAGATGAGCAAAATGAGGCACAGAAAGATTTACTATTTGTTCATGGTCATGAAGCTAAGAAGTAGCAGAGCCAGGATTCAAACCCAGACAGGCCCTAAAGGGAGTGTCCTTATCCACTGCCTCTCATATTTACTTAAAAATAGATATTTATGTAGATCAATATCAAATGCTAAGGAGCGAGAGACAAAACCATTTACAGATAATAATAACTTCCAAATACTGATTGTCTACCTCAGGCCAAGCAGTTTACGAGGCACTTCACATAAATCATCTCATTTAAACTGCATTAACAATGTATAAGGTAGATATAGTCATCACCATCTTACAAATAAGGAACTGGCTCAACTACTCCAGGATCCTGGTGATCCAGGATCACCAACTAGTACGTAGCAATATTTAGTTTTAAGACCAGATTAATAGGATTCCAAAATCTGGGGTCACTATAATATACAGGGTTTTCCTATAAATATTCCTTCAAAAATGAGGCAAGTAGGGACTTCCCTGGCAGTCCAGTGATTAAGACTCTGCGCTTCCACTGCAGGTGGCATGGGTTCAATCCCTAGTCGGGGAACTAAGATCCCATATGCTGCACAGTGCAGCCAAAAAAAAAAAAAAAAAAAAGAGGTATGTAACCAAATCTCACTAACCTGTTAGACAAATACAGAAATAAACTCTGCTCTATAGAAAAATTAAGTATTCCTGACAAGTTGTGCAAAAAGAACACTTTGTTAAATTAAAAACCCTATTCTAAGTATACCAGGAAAACTCTGAGCTGAATCTCCTCATAAACTAAAATATCACCCCTTAATTTCTCTTTTTCTAAGTTTGTACTCTTGCATATAAATTTTTGCTGTAAACAAGATGGAGGTTAGTCTGAACCTCTCAGTGGATATTCCAGAGTAGACTATTCACACATCTGAAGGAGGGATGTCCTCTGAGGTCTAGGACTGCATTTGATCGGTGGGGGTTAAAAGGCAAAGGGGGCTGAAACCTAAATATACCTTATCTTTATTTAGATGAAATTTTAAAACCAAAATACTATTTTTTAAAACAACCTCTTGCTGGAGAGGGTGTGAGAAAAGGGAACTCTCCTGTACTGTTGGTGGGAATGTAAATTGATACAGCCACTATGGAGAACAGTATGGAGGTTCCTTAAAAAACGAAAAATAGAACTACCATATGACCCAACAATCCCACTGCTGGGCATATACCCTGAGAAAACCATAATTCAAAAAGAGTCATGGGGCTTCCCTGGTGGCGCAGTGTTTGAGAGTCCGCCTGCCGATGCTAGGGGACACGGGTTTGTGCCCCAGTCCGGGAAGATCCCACGTGCCACAGAGCGGCTGGGCCCGTGAGCCATGGCTGCTGAGCCTGCACGTCCGGAGCCTGTGCTCTGCAACGGGAGAGGCCACAACAGTGAGAGGCCCGCATACCGCAAAAAAACAAACAACAACAAAAAAAAGAGTCATGTACCACAATGTTCATTGCAGCACTATTTACAATAGCCAGGACATGGAAGTGCCCATCGACAGATGAATGGATAAAGAAGATGTGGCACATATATACAATGGAATATTACTCGGCCATAAAAAGAAATGAAATTGAGTTATTTGTAGTGAGGTGGATGGACCTAGAGTCTATCATACAGAGTGAAGTAAGTCAGAAAGAGAAAAACAAATACCGTATGCTAGCGCCCTTATATGGAATCTAAAAAAAACACTACGATGAACCTAGTGGCAGGGCAGGAATAAAGATGCAGATGTAGAGAACGGACTTGAGGACACAGGCTGGGAAGGGGAAGCTGGGACGAAGTGAGAGAGCAACACTGACATATACACACTACCAAAATGTAAAATGGATAGCTAGTGGGAAGCTGCTCCATAGCACAGGGAGATCAGCTCCGTGCTTTGTGATGACCTAGAGGGGTGGGATAGGGGTGGTGGGAGGGAGGCTCAAGAGGGAGGGGATAAGGGGATATATATATACTTAGAGCTGATTCACTTTGTTGTGCAAGAAACTAACATAACATTGTAAAGCAATTATACTCCAATAAAGATATTAAAAAATAAACGACTTCTTTTTCAAAAAGCTTCTTTTGAGCTATCTTTTGGTCTAATACAGCCCCTTGCCCCCAGCCCCCGACCTGCGCGTCCGGAGCCTGTGCTCCGCAACGGGAGAGGCCACAACAGTGAGAGGCCCACACACCACAAAAAAAATAAAATAAAAATTAAAGGACTAGTGGGAAATGGAACAGGCCAAGGCCAAAGCTAACTGTTTAAATGAGAGCCCCAAGCAAGGTGGAACTGGATGCCTTCCTGCACCGCTTAATCAAGATTGAATTTCTGTCAACAGGTTTCACTGAAAAAAAAAAAAAAAAAAGGCACATGCGTCAACCACATTCCCCCACACAAATCAAGCTGCCAAGCAAGAGAATCGGCTTCACATTTCAAAATTATCTGAATCCACCACAACTTCAGACTCTTGCAAAACTAGAAACATTCTGAGTGAAGAAATAGCTCTTCCTGATCAATAATCCTATGATAGACAGGTAAAGGTTTCTCCCATATGTTATGAACTAGTTAGGTTCCTTTTAAAACTGCTTATCAAGTGCCATCCATCACATCACGTGGCTAATTTTTGTTTCCAAAAAACAAAGATTGAAAAATAATCCTTTCCCTTAAGGAACTCACACTAATTTTGACACAGGGTGATCTTTGCTGTGGAAGTGCAGAGAAGGGGAATAGATGAAGGAGGGTCAGAGAAGGCTTCCTGGTGGAAGTGATACATAAAAGATACAGATAGACCTGCAGAGTTCTACAGGCTAAAGATGAATATTGATTTTTTCTAGGGGAAGAAATAAATGGAAAGGGAAAACAAATAGGGGGAAGTACACAATTGAGGAAGATTGCAAAAGAAGCAAAGTAACCTATTTCCACATTCATCTGAAATTAACCTCCAAGGGTCCCTGTCTCTCTTCACTATCAAACCAAAAATAACCAGCCATGACAAGCTCTGTAAATCAAAAGGTGCAGGTTCAGAGCGGGTGGAGGAAAGCTGTAAAAGGCTGCATTCTAAGCAAGGCTGAAAGAGACTAGCAGCTCCTGAGCAAAACGAAGACTTTGGTGTGATAAATGATCTCAAGTACCTCACTATACAAGCTTGTGAACTGTGTATTGCCTAATTCTATTGGAGGAAAAATCATGAGTTAAATAAATGGTAATGTAATAGAATAAACAGAGTAAGGCAAGATCTCATTAGAAGTGTAGTTAGTTAAAATGGTCCCACCTCAGGCAGTGCCATTTCCCCAGGGACACCCTCTCCTATTTTCACAAGGGATAAGAGATCCTGTTACACTACCACAAGTTAGAGTTGAGTTATTGTCATCTTAACCAGGGAGAAAACACCTACATTTCTTTTTCTTGTACATAAGGATTAGCAGGAGACAGTAAATGGCGACATAATACAGACAGCAATTTTAAATGTTCATCAAAGTCACAAACTAAGTCTGAAGGAAGTTAATGGACCTTGTTTTTCCACATTTGTTTGCTAACTTCTATGATGAAATCGGATCTATTTACAGAAACAGATCTATGAAGCTTCCAAAATTGGGTCATTTTAAAATCCAATGACAATCTCTCACTGTCCAAGCACTTAGAAGTCAGCACAGGACACATGGACACTTGTTCTAATTCATCACTGTCCAGAAATCTCAAGCAAATAAATTTTTCTACCATTTTCCTCCCAAACTTGTTTCTTATCACTGTTTTTGAAGGATTACAAATTCAGTTCCGCTTTTTTTATTCATCCACAGAACTCTATAAACCATAATCCACTCTTACATGACTAACAGGACCTGGATAGAAATCAAAGATGCCATTTACCTCTAGGCCAAATAACAACACAGATCTTTTTAATACCAAAGTTTTCTGATGTTCCAAAAGTAAGAAGCTGAAAGAGTTTGTAAGGGTTGACAATGGGGCTACAAGAGGTTACAATCCTAGTCAAATCTCAATCATTCTGTCTTGTAGAGATTTATATCCCTCAAAAGGTATCTGATTTGGAAAGCAGACAAACAGAGACACACCCACATACACACACACCCTAAAAAAGTGATAATCAATGAGGTGGCAGGGAGTGAGGTAGACAATGAGAGGGTTGGAATGTTTTTAACTATAAACCTTTTTACATTATTTTGATTTTTGCACCATTTGAATCTATAATATATTTTAAAAATAAAAAAATTGTGCCTGTGTGAACATACACTGCTGGTGGATGTGTAAATCAGCACAATTTTCCTATAAAGCAATTTGGTGTTACGTACCAAAGTCTTAAAAATACACATTCTTTGGGACTTCCCTGGCAGTCCAGCGGTTAAGACTCCGTGCTTCCAATGCAGGGGGCACGGGTTCAATCCCTGGTTGGGGAACTAAGATCCCACATGTCACATGGCCATAAATAAATAAAGTTTAAAAATTAAGAAAATAAAAATATGCATTCTTTTTGACCAATGGTTCCACTGGGTAAAATACTATGGTAGAACGATATAATGGAATAATATATAGCCATTAAAATTATGTTATAGAAAATTTTAATGAAATGAAAAAATTTTCATAACCTAATTATTAAATGAAAAAAAAATGAAGGTTATTAGAGCATGGTTTCTTAAAACCAAATATAGATACCCTCCAAAATTTGGAAAGAAATCTATCAAAATGCTAGCCATAGTTCATCTGAGAGGTAGGATATTGGGTGACATTGTTTTCTTTTGCTTTTACATATTAAATAAATTCTCTTCCAAGGTTAAGTGTTACTTTCTAAAGATAAGCTAAAGTTATTTAAAGAATTTTGAAGCTAATATGTTAATGTCCCCCTTATTCCTTTTTAATGTAATACTGTGGATACAGCCTTACCTGTGGTTTAATCCGTCTGTCAGTCCACCTGTCTACAGGCTTGACTCAAAGTTGCAATATACTCTTTCACCTCTCTTCTGAAATCTTGAAGTCTAAAAAGTACTTCTTATCAAGAGCCTGGAAGAAGCAGAAAGGTGATGAAAGAGGTTCAAGTTCTTTGTAGTAAAAAAGGTTAACAGAGAACAGAAGGAGCTATAAAACCCCAACCCCCCAACCCGGGGTCCCCAACCCCTGGGCCACGTACCAGTACCAGTCCGCACAGCAGGAGGTGAGCGGCAGGCGAGCGATTGAAACTGCCACTCCCTGTCGCTTGCATTACCAACTGAATCATGCCCCCCACCCCCCACCCCCATCCAAACCCGTCCGTGGAAAAACTGTCTTCCACAAAACTAGCCCCTGGTGCCAAAAAGGTTGGGGACCACTGCTATAAAATACCAAGGATACCCACTCTTAAAACCAAAGAGTGCTTCTGAGAGCTAAGGTCTAAATAGCATGGATCCTCCCAAATGCCAGACTTCTTAAAAGATTGTTGTTTCATTAGTGTAAAAATGTTCTTCAAGTTTTTTAGTGTACATGTGCTGTTTCCCAGTATCTTTGTGGTTACATACTCCCACTTCAAAGCAACCTTTCTGAAACTTGCAACTTAGGAACACTGACATCAAGGGGTTGCAGTGCGCACTTCTATTCAAACATCAGGACAAAGAGTAGGCACACTCAAAATATGAAAAAACTTCTACTACCTTTTTAAATTTAATAAAGTAGAAATAGGGACTTCCCTGGTGGTCCAGCGTGTAAGACTCCATGCTCCCAATGCAGGGGGCTGGGGTTTGGAACTAAATCCCACATGTATGCCACACCTAAGAAGTCCACATGCCACAACTAAGACCCAGCACAGCCAAAATAAATAAATAATAAATAATTTTTAAAACAATAACTTAGCTTTAAAAAAATTAATTAAAAAGTAGAAATAGCATTTTATAAAAATTTTCTAAAGTATGCTCCTACATACAATTTTATACCTTCCTCACTAATCTTTAACTTCCCCCTATAATCAACAAAAACAAACAAACAAAAACAGAACCCCTCCCAGTTATCTGTACTTTTTTCACAAAGTGCCCTAGCTGCTGATCTGTCTCAGACACAGATCTATTCACAGAATTGATTGGCCTATTCCCTGGTGGCGCAGTGGTTAAGAATCTGCCTGCCAATGCAGGGGACATGGGTTGGAGCCCTGTTCCAGGAAGATCCCACATGCCGCGGAGCAACTAAGCCCGAGCGCCACAACTACTGAGCCTGCACTCTAGAGCCCAGGAGCCACAACTATGGAAGCCCGTGCGCCTAGAGCCCGTGCTCTGCAACAAGAGAAGCCACCGCAATGAGAAGCCAGTGCACCACAATGAAGAGTCATCCCCTGCTCTCCGCAACTAGAGAAAAGCCTGAGCGCAGCAACAAAGACCCAATGCAGACAAAAATAAATAAATATATTTATAAAAAAAGAACTGATTGGCCTGTTCAATCTCCCTGTAGTAAATTCTGCTTCCTACCTTTACCCATGGCAAAGAAAATTCAGTTTGCCAAAGGACATTTAAATCTCTCCTCCTCCTTTCTTCCCAAGCAATTCAAAAGAATTAGGGGACTTCCTTGGTGGTGCAGTAGTTGAGAATCTGCCTGCTAATGCAGGGGACACGGGTTCAAGCCCTGGTCTGGGAAGATCTCACATGCCACGGAGCAACTAGGCCCGTGAGCCACAACTACTGAGCCTGCGCGTCTGGAGCCTGTGCTCCACAACAAGAGATGCCGTGACAGTGAGAGGCCCGCGCACCGCGATGAAGAGTGGCCCCCCGCTCGCCGCAAGTAGAGGAAGCCCTTGCACAGAAACGAAGACCCAACACACCCAAAAACAAAAATAAAAATAAACCCAACCAAATATTAAAAAAAAAAAAAAAAAAAGAATTAGGGAAGAGACCCAGGAAAGGCTGAAGAAAAAATACATATAGGAAATATAGGTGAATTCTGAACCTCTCCTGATACCTAAACAAAAAATGAAGGACATTCCCACATAATCCTGTCTCCTGTTGAAGCTTAATTGCAGCTGCAGGATAAACTAACTTTATTAAGGTTGGAATACACAGACTTAAGCATAAGGTGGGCCAAAATAACTATTTTCTTTAAATGATTTGAAAGTTTAAACAAAATTACCAATCTAATTCAATATATCCAGTTTTTCATACCTGAAATTTTGTAGTCAATTTAGATAATGCCTTCTTGTCTTGCCAATTCAACAAATATTGAATGGGTGATTTCCATGCACCAAGACTGTTCGGGTTCCTGTCTAACTAAACTCTCCTTATCAAGAACGGTTTCTGTCCCGCCTGCTTCACAAAGCCACCCTTGCCTGTTTTAAGCCTCACTGATCTCCCTCACCTCTAAACTGCCAGGACTCTTACAATACAAAACAATAGAGCACTCAGATGCTTTCTTGTCTTGTTCTAATTGTCACTTGTCAATTTGAATCAGACTTTTGGCCTCAAGCATACCAGAAACCATTCATCTGTATACACACAGTATCTAACACTGAGCACACAGTACAACCTCAAAGGTCAATTAATTAGCTAAGTGAGCTGGAAGCCACAATAATTTTGATCCCAAGAGTGCCAACTTAATACTGAATTGACACACCCACAGTACAACTCCAAAACAACGTAAGTTTGATTTAGAGGTGGCTTGACAGGGGGTGATACACTGAGGCCACAACACAAAAATATCCTTAGTATTGCAGCAAACAGTTTGAATTTTGACATCTGATGAGTGAGACAAATTGAAAGGCCATAGAATGTCAAGACAAGGTAAGGCTGAACCAGGGAGAACTCCAAGTGATGGTCTTAAAGCGAAATCAGCAGAGCACTCAGATGCTGTCTTGTCCTAAGCAGGACTGATAGGGAGGAAGTCCTTGGTACCTAAGTACTAGGAAATTGTAGGTGAGAAAAAGAAACCATGTATCAAGAAACCAGGGAGAAAAACAATCCTACAATATTACAGCCTGGTTCACTTTTCCTTCCCTCTCCGATCTATAAGTGTTTTAGGACAGGAAATTAGAAAAGCAGTAATACCTAGTGATACCACACAAAGGGGGAGGGCTGGGCAGATAGGGATAAAACAGAATGAATTTTAAATTCCCAAACAGAAAGACAACTCCAAGTGGAATTAAACTCGTCCTCAATTATGTTCTCACCTCATTTACCTTTCTATCTTACACAACAGTTTTGAAATGTAGTTGTTTGTGGCCACATCGTTTTCCTCCACCAAATGCCACACGTCTTGAGGGCGGGTGGGGCTACTGTATCACCCATTTCGAGAAATGTATCTAGATTACGGGCTTCAGTTTCCCTCCTATAAAGGAGGGCTAAGACTAGCACCGACTTCACTGGATTGGGGCGAAAATTAAATGAGAAAACGCAGAGTGCTTGGTCCGGTAAACGCTTATTTCATGTGTGCTGGGTAATAATATAATTGTCGTTACCGTTATCCTTAGCCCACAGCCTCCCCCCACTCCTCCTTCCACCTATTTCCCACGCCGGCCTCCGCCTCTACCTGTAGACACAGCCCGCTAGTCCCGGTCCGGCCGGGGAAATCCTGTCATGAAGGGAAGGGTGGCCGGAAGCCCGGCTCCTGCTCTGCGAGTCAGGTCGGCGCCCCAGCAGCACACCGTCCCAGAAGCTGAGCCCTCGAGGAGTAGGAGACCTCTAGCCACTTGGAAATCAGGGAGAAGGCTGCCCGGCGCCCCAGCTGCTCCCCTTTTCTCCCTTCGGCTCACCTCGCCTCAGCGCTGACAACCGACCGCCAGGAAGACCCGCCGCGGGACTCATTCAGTACCGTTGAAAATTTGAACCCAGACTCTCCAGTCAAACGCACCAATCAGAGTGCCGAGAACCAGCTATCCCAGCCTTCCGATTGGCCCTAGAGATCGTAGGGAGGCCGGAAGCCAGGATGAGGGACAAGAAAACAACCGGCCCCGGAGACTCCTGGGAAATGTAGTGCGACTGCGTGAGCCGGCTACAACAACTCGAAAGAGGAAATTACCACAAGGCCCAGAACGCTCGGCTACAGACTGTTTGGGAAAGGTGGTACTACCCAATGAAGAGAGAGGGAGTCTATTTAGGTAACAGGACGGCGAGCGTCCTGAACTTCCCCAAAACTTTCACGGAAGGAAATTCTTCATTAGTTTATAATTCTCCCTGTAGTTGTGCATCGTGCCTTTGATTATTCTTAGGAATTCACTTCGTTTTAACATCGAGTCCCCTGCAAGCAGCATAGTCTCGCCCCCAGATTCTCTGCCAATCGTGAAGGAGTCTCTCAAACTCTTTATCCAGTCCACGCCCCAATATTACTGGCTAAAGCCGGCGGCTTTTTGGAGGTTTGGTCTTTCACTTTTAATGCCGTCTGCATCCTTGGCTCTATTACCCTCGTATTGTAGAAGAGAAAACAAATGCTCACAGAAGTTGAGTAAACTTATCTAAGATCACTTAAGTAGAGGAGATGGGATTTGAGTTAAGAATGTCTGATCCTATATATCATCAACAGTCAATTAGAAGATAATAGCAACAACAAGAACAAAAAGATCAACGTTCATAATAACAAAAAAGGCAACAAAGTTTTTAAAAATAAGCCTAAGACCTTTACGGGAAATTTTTAAACTTCGTTGAATAACTATAAAAATAATTAAATAAGCTATAGACCTTATTAATGGATGGGGAGATCTAATATTGTAAATTCTCCATATTAAAAGTTCAAGGCAATTCCGATGAAAATCGCAATAGGTTTTGTCATGGAATTTGCCAAGTTGATTTTAAAATTCACATGGAAGAAAAAAAGCACAAGAAGTGGCATCTGAATTTTGAAAAATAATAGGGGGCAATCGCCATAACAGATCTCACAAATATTAACATACTACGAAATTATAGTAATTTAAAAAGTATCGTCAGTTGAGTCTATGGGGATACAATCAGCAAAATCCAGACGAGAAAACTCTACAGGACAAAAGATCTAGTTTCTTCAAAAAATAAATAGAAAAAACAAAAACAACAACAACAAAAAAACCAGCAAGAGTTGGGTCTTTT